TATAAGGATGTTCGTGAGGTGGTGTAGATCACGTTGGTATATTCAAACATCTCATTTGAGCAATGTATGAGAAGTTATTAGTTAGTTTTGGTTATGTGCTCTAAATTAACGTTTATTCAGTTAATTCGCATATAAGTGAGACTTATCCCAAGGACGAGCGCCGTCAAGGGCGATTCGGGGACTACGACCCTTCGACATACCAGTGAGTGGGCTTTTGGTTTTCAGTATATACTTATATACTTGATATTTTTCCCAGAAAATGCATTTAATTGAAAGTATGCCTTGAAATGCCATGCATATAAATTTATATTCTATATATGAATTGGTATATGATTCATAATATATAATTGTGGTGATGTGGACGTTCAGGTAAGCTCAGGTGAGTTATGAATTGTGAATGTGATTAAAGTTGTGATTGAGAAACATTGAGCTCATAAACCTGCACCTAGGGTGATTGTGATTTAGACCGAGATATGACACATGCCTGTTTATAATGTCATATCCCGCACCATATGCTCACATTGGATCCAATTTAGGTGCATAGTCTTGTCGTACAGACCATCATAGGCGGTTCAAACTCAGCCTTGTGGTTCCGACTAGCGATTTATCGCCCAACTATCATGAGAGCGTAGTATTGAGCACGATTGTATTACACCCAGCCTTGTCGTACAGACCCTATTAGTGGTTCCGACTCATGTGTAGTGTAGTGCCGTATAGGTCATTGTAGCGACTCCGGCTAGATTGATTAATGAGCTATGAATTCAGCCGTACAAACTTCTACAGGGGTTCCGGCTACTACGTTATTCTCCATGAATTTATTCTCACCTGAATTACTTATTTTGTTTATATCTTGGCATGGCATACTTATGAATAAGGTTATGTGAAACATGATTTGAATTGAGATATTTATATATACATTTATGCATATGTTTATATTCTATTTATGGGAAAATTATACATGTTTTACAGTGAGGGGTTAGAGGATTTTAATGATGAAATGGTTTTGAAAAACATTTGGTTTTGCCCACTCACGTTTTCTGTTTTGCGCCCCTCCAGGTTTTAGGTAAGCTTGATGTTGGTGGCGTACAAGGATTTCGGCGGTTCTGACATAATAAAATAATTGTAGGATATCTTCTGGTACTGTATAACTAGTACTTGTCCTTCTGGACTGCACCTAGACCTTCTATGCTCTGATTAGGAGTATTTACACTTGTATCTCACTCCTAACATTTCCCGTTTATTAGTGCACATTAGTAGCTTTTGGTTTTTGTTTATTTGTATATTTCTTATCTTTATTGCTTCCGCACTGTGCACATGGCTATGTCACCCTCACGTGACGGCCATCATGCCTCAATCTCAGTCGGGGTGTGTCATTTTACACAAAAGAGATGGTACTTACACACAAAAAAGGGTACATTTTACATAACAAAGTGGTACATTTTTAAAGACAAATGGGTACATTATTAATAAATTATGGGTACAAATAAAAGGTCAAAAAATATGTGTAAAAATAAAAGTTTGAAAAATATGGACACAAAAAGAAATTAATATATGGGTACAAACTAACAAAAGCTATCGTTTTTAAAACTGAATAGAAAATTGGCATAATTTAAAAAAAGGGTTGCAAATTAAAATGGGTACAAACTAAAAATAAAAATATATGATACAAAATTTAGCCATAAATATAAATTTATCAAATGTAAAGTTTCCAACACTAAATGAATAATTTAGAAATAAAATTTAATTATCTTGATATGTAAAATATTTTATTATTGAAATAATTAATGATGTTTATTAAAACCAATGGACCTTGATTAAAAGTTGAAAAGAAATAAGGTTTCAATCAATGGAGTTAAACAAAGTCGGATATATATATATATATATATATATATATATATATATAGAGAGAGAGAGAGAGAGAGAGAGAGAGAGAGAGAGAGAGAGAGAGAGAGAGAGAGAGAGAGAGAGAGAGAGAGAGAGAGAGAGAGAGAGAGAGAGAGAGAGAGAGAGAGATGTGGTGGGTGGAAAATGGGGAGTTTTGGGGGAGGGCGGGAGTGGTTTGAAGAGAACTCCATATGAACTTTTGATATCAAATCAAATAATGTGTCATTTCTTCTTCAATGGCGATGGTGGTGAACACTGGAGAAGCCAGGTTAACGGTTGTCCTGGGCTGTTGCTCAGGTAGCTTTCGGTGAAAAATAAAATTTTACATGTAATTTTGATTGATTTCGAATGTAGCTCACCAAATATTTAGTCACTAATCCGAATTCCCTAGGTTTAACTATATAAAATTATATAATACAGTTTACAAACCATCTCTTTTTCTTACGTCATTTTTCTCATTGCTTCTTTTACATGTACAAGTTTGGATTTGTTTAATTTTAACACATATTTGTTTAATAAATATTTTTTTGGCTTACCTTGTGAAATTTTTTAAGTTGGCTGATACGATGACGTTTTTCTGCAATTCACGCTCGATGAACACTTAGGCTACAACATTCTGCGGCTGAAGATGGAGGACAAGAAGGAAACGGGGTGGGATTAAAGAGCTTGGAAATTGAAGTCGCCATTGTTGGATCACATAGAAAGGGGTGAGAGTCTGCTTGTGGAAATGGAGATGGACGGCTGCAATTGGCTACGCACCAACCCCATCCCATGTCGCTGAAGCTCCACCTAAAAACTGGGTTATGTAAATTTTACGATTTGAAAAAAAAAAGCAAGAAAAATGGACAAAATATAAGGAGAAAAAGAAGAACGAAAGGAAGCAAAAAGGGGAGATGGAATTAGGGGTTTGGGAGAGGGAATTGAGGGTAGGTGCGCGGAGAGGGTGTGCAGAAGAGAGAATAGAGGAAGGGGGGTCGGGGCTTGAGGTAGGGGACAGGCCAGAAACTTTTTTTTTTTTTTTTAATATTTATATGGGCCCCTATGACACGTGGTGCCTAGTCACCAGTTAAGGGTTGATTTAACAGCAAACTTAATGAATGTATGAAAGTGTCCCAAAATTATGACTGTATGTACCACTCTGGGATGAAAAAAAACTTCATGTATTAAATGTTGAAAACCAAGAAAATTCATGATAGTAAACTAAGATTAATCCCATAAATATATACAAATGTGGGCAACCTCCATTCTTGAACAACAATAGGGTGGGCAGCGCTCAAATTCATCTTAGCCACCTCTTCAACGACTCAAAATCCCAAAAATTTCACACAATCAGAGAGAGCAGACAGACATTGAAGAAAAGGTGCACATGTTAAAATACGTTTTTACCCTTCTATTTAACGAACATTTAACGAAAAAATCACTTTTGAACTAAATTTTCTAACGGACTACACCACGTGGGTTTATATCCTAATTTTTTTAGCACGAGACTATTTTCCAATTACCTTATCACCACGAGGACCATTTATCCAATTAGGTCTTTTTTGTTTTTAAATTATATAGTTTTGCATTCCAATAATCAGTCCTAATTAAACTACAAGTAAAACTTGGTAGACAATTAAAATAATTCTACCGTTTTGCATCCACAGTACCCCATGTGATGACAATTAAATTAATTACTAATTTACTTGCTTGTGACGTTAGCACTAACTTTTTTAGGTGTTATTGCCACTGTTGAAATAACATTTTCAGCTATGAAATATCTGAAGAATCGATTCAAAAATCGGATGGGAGATGGATGAATGATAACATGATTATTTTTATAGAGAGAGAAATATGTGTTGATATTGATAATGATGTTGTCATGCAACGCGTCCAAAACATGAAAACGTGCTAAGGAATATTGTAATATATTGTATGTAAACCTGACACACCCCGACCGAGATCAAGGCATGATGGCCGTCACGTGAGAGTGACGTAACCATGTGCCCAGTGCGGAAGCAATACAGATAAGAAATATACGAATAATTAAAAACCGAAATACTAGAGTGCACTACTAAACAGGAAGTGATAAGAGATAGTTACAACAGTAAACACTCCTAATGAAAGCATAATAAGTCTAGGTGTAGTCCAGTAGGACAAGTACTAGTTATACAGTACCAGGAATGTCCTACTATTATTTAGGTAGGTCAGAACTACCGAATTCCTCAAGCCACCAACAGCAAGCTTACTTAAAACCTGGAGGGGAGCACAATAGAAAACATAAGTGGGCAAAAACAAATGTTTTATAAAACCATTTCATTTATCAACATATCTAATCCCTCGTTGTAAAACATGTATAATTTTTTCCAGAATCAGAATATAAGCATATACATAAATATATATGTAATCATAACATTTCAATCATGCTTCACATAATCATAAACATATGTATGTCATGCCAAGATATAACGGAGTAAGCAATTCAAGTAAGAATAATTTCATAGAAATAATACATGTAAGCCGAAACCCCTATGGTAGTATGTACTGCTGAATTCATAGCTCAAAAGTCACTTTAGCCGGAGTCACTACTATGACCTATACGGCAATATACTGCATAAGAGTCGGAACCAAACAAAAAGGTCTATAAGACAATAATGGGTGTAATATAATCATGCTCAATACTACTCTCACATAATAGCCGGGCGATAAATCGTTAGTCACCTACAAGTCGGAACCATAAATAAGGTTTGTACGACAAGACTGTGCACCTAAATTGGATCCAATATGAGCATATGGTGCGGGAGGTGACATAATAAACAAGCTTCTATCATATCTCTGGCTAAATCACAATCACCCTAAGTGCAGTTTTATGAGCTCAACATTATTCAATCACATATCACATCATCGATGATTCATATAATCAAACATGACTTACTTGGGCTTACCTGAGCGTCCACGGCACCACAATTATATATATAACGTATCATGCACCAATTCATAAACGAATTATAGACTCATATGCATGGCATTCAAGGCATAAACATTTAAATATATTTTTCTGGGAACATATCAAGTATATAATATATACTGAAAACCAAAAGCCCACTCACTGGTAAGTCGAAGGGTTGTAGCCCCCGAGTCGCCCTTGGATACGCTCGTCCTCGGGATACATCTCACCTATATGCGAATTAACTATAAAAACGTTATTTTAAAGCACAAAGGTAAAACTAGCTAATAACTTATCATACATAGCTCAAAATGGGTATATGAATATACCACTGTGACCTACACAACCTTAGGATCATCCCCAAATTTTTAGAAAAAATTGTGGACCCCTCATGCGCCGCCACGCACCGGTGAGTGCATGGCAAGACGCGCGGCCACGCGCAAGGAATTCGGGATTCCCTAACTACCGTTAGGAATATTCCCCGAAATATTCCGTTAAACCCGACGGTAACTGTCCAAACTAATTGACGGCGTCAGAATATTCCGTCCAAACTGATGGAATATTATGTCTTTGTCTCTGGCGAGTCGCCGGTCACTAGAAAACTGGGTAAAACTTCAAAATGTCTATTCTCACTCATTTTTCAACCATTTTCTTCGAAATTTGAACCAAATGAAACCTTAGAGTGAGCAGAATGACGTTATACCTATTTGAAGCTTCAAATCTCACGAAATCACGTCGGGGAAGCTTCACAATTCCGACCAAACCTGCAACTCGTCGTTTCTCATGATCCCGACGTCCAAATTCCTCAAACAAACTACCCCGAGACTCGTGAAGGCCTCATTAAGCTTCCTATGAGCTTAGATTTCCCTAAAACACAAGGTTTAACGTGAGTATGAACAGTGCATGAAAATTGGGTTACGGGTTCACGAATTTTCGAAGGATTCCTTACCTGGAACTGGTACCAAACGATTCGTAGCACCACGAGGAACACAATGGTGCACTCAAAACCTTCGATCTGCGAAGTTTGGGGTGTTCTTGCTCTTGTCCGTACGTATAGCAAGGAGAGAGAGAGTACGGGGAGGAAGAGAAAGAAGGATAATGTGTGTGTGTGTGTGGTCCACGTGGGTCACCAAATCAAAACCACAAAAAAATCAACATCTAGGTTGTAACAACCCATCCCGAGATTTACTGTACATAAATGGTATTTTTGTATTTTCATCAAGTTTGGGAATTTATCTTCCTTTTAAAATTTGTTTTTTGTCTTAAATGGTGAGCCAAGGGGACCCACCCCCTGATTTCTGTCCCCAGCCTCCTATCTCTCTCTTCCTTCTTCTTTGTCTCTCTCTCCCGTAACTCTCCCTTAGCTCTCTCCTTCTCAGCTCTCCCGTCTCTCTCTCCCTCAACCTCTCGCATCTCTCTCTCTTCCCCTGGACTCACTAGGACTGAGTCACCATCGAAGAGAGGCTCGCAACGAACCCCGTAACTTGCCCTGCGAGTTCGACGGCACGGAGTAAGCTCCGGCGAGCACCGTCCCTTTCGAGGCCATTTCCGGTCAAACCACGGCGATTTAGACGTCGTGTAAGGTACCATTTTCTTCGTCTCTTCAAGGGCTACAACTTTCGTTTCTGTCTCGCTTGATTTCGTTGAGTAGTGACAAAGTTATAGCCGTTTAAAGTTAGGTGGTTTTCCGGCCGAATTTCCGGCCTTCTTCCTCGGCACCAGGCCATCCGGCCTTTCCCATTTCCCTCTCCCTCGGGCCTTAGGCCCGTGTTGTCCTAACCCAGTACCCCAGCCCATTTGGTTTTTCTTTTTTGTTATTTGTTTTTTTAAAACCCCAAAAGAAAGGCCTTGGGCCGGTTTCATTTAAATAGGGCTTAAAGCCCTATTTTTTTTAGTGAGGCCTTAGGGCCTTTGTGACCCTTGTGCATGTGTGTGTGTGTGTTTGGGCTAAAGCCCCAAACCCCATTTTTCTCACCCTAAAACCATTTTAACCCAAAACCTTAGGTTCCTAAAATCCCATTAAAACCCAAAACCCAATATATCCTAATTCTATTTAACCTAAACCCTAATTCGGATTTCAAGCCTAAAACCCGTTTGACCTAGTTTGACCGTTGACCCCCGGTCAACGTTGACTTTAGGGTTGACTTTTCGGGTTTTCGTCCGGGACTCTTCTTAGGGTAATTCAACGTTCTGAATCCGTTTTCAATGTCCATTTTCCCAAATTCAATTGCTATTATATAGTTTTATTTATTGGACTCTTTATGTGCTTAGGGGCAATTATTGTGACGTTTCCGTCTTCGCTAGTGGCGCAGCTTTTGGCAATTAAGTACTGTGAGTGGACCCCTTCTAAAATTACATGATTTGATAATTTAATTGCATAAATGATTAGCATGCCTACGGATTTATGATTTGATTTATGTGAAGCCTGATGATTTAATATATTGATTATCGTCTCGTGTTTTTGGTGAGGAATTAATTGTTGGCCAATATTGAGCTATATTTTAATATATCGTATTTTCTATAAAAACCATGAACTGGTAGACTATCTGATTGATGATGATAGGATGCTAGAACATGATTTTGAACCCTTTTTATAGCGTAGACGATAATCGGTAACCTATGCTATGAAGTGGTATTTATGAGAGGCGTAAATATTTGTGCGTACCTAGTAGACACTATGCAGCCTGGGGCGAGGATCTGGTGTTGGCATGTAGGCCGGGAGAAATAATCCCTAGCGAAAGGCTGAGGGACACGGAGACAGGCATTGGGCCGGGAGGGAGTTATCTCTGGCTACGGGCACAGAGATTGAGGTGCGGGCATTGGGCCGGGAGTTATATTTATTCGGTGATCTTACTAGCAGCACACCGCGTTTACGAGACGATTTACGAGATGTTTTACGCGATGATTTATATGATGTTTTCCGCGTTATGGCCTTTGAGATATTTTTGGCATGCTAGGATTTTTATTAAATCCATCACTTATTATGCTAGTAGTTTTCATTTATATAAACTTTGGGGGTTAGTATCTTGATAACTGTTTTATTATTATTGTATATATAAACTTGGTCTACTCACCTTTGTTTTGCGCCCCCATTCAGGACTTAGAATCAAAGCACCTAATCCCGACGTGAAGACACTTCCGCAGCAGCATCTTCGGATCCTCTCGATGTAGGACCCACTTCTTTATTCATTCTTTTATCTCAATTCTTTTTAGTGATTATGTTTAGTTGTATGTTCTGAACACGTTCCTAAAATTATTAACTCTTATTTATTTCTTATTCTTAGCTTTTGTATCAATTAATGGCTTTCGTCACCCTCGGGTGTCGGCCAGCACGTGTCTATCCTGGTATTCGGGGAATATCAGGGTCGGGGCGTGTCATAGGTCTCCAAAATAAGTCACACACACGCACCACAAGATTCATCGTCCCCGGTTAAAATCGTCATTTTACGTCACTAAGAATAAAATAGTACATATCTCTGGGACGGGCTATGACAAAAACTGTATAGGTTAATATATCAGTGTCTTTTTTTAAGTAAATTCTTGAGCCTTTTAAATGTGGCTTTATTATTTTAGGATGCCGTTGTTCATACAAATCTCTGACTTCGTCTTTGGGTGTATGCTAGAACCATGGAGGCAACCTTTGATTTTCTCAAAATCAATTATCAACCTTTCTAACTTACGCGTGGTGAGAAAAATATAGATGCAGCTAGTGTGCTAAGAGAAAGCATATTCTTAACAAGATTTTTGGCAATAGAAAAAGGCAAATTTACAATTTAATGGAATATTTTTTTTGTTTTCCTCCATCTATCCTAACCCAAAACAATTTGCACCACAATTTAAAAGAACAGAAATGAAAGGGAAAAACATGGCGTGAGAAGCCATGGAGTTGGATGGACAAGCAGAGGTCCTTCACCAAAATAGCAATTGTCTTTTGCAAATTGGAGTCTCAAGGGACATGGATAGCTCAGGAGATATCTCTCTCACAAACGAACTACAACAACAAATTAGAAGGAACGGTTAAATGTTTGCCTTGTTTGTACCCGCGGCTAATATTCATAATCATCTATCTATATTTCATAAGTAAATAGTTATACTGATAATAGTGTATTTATTTAAACGGTTACCCATAATCGCGACCATCAAATATAAATGAGCGAATAATCGTGATTACCCAAACACTCGGATATTTTGGCCATCCTAGTCAATGCCCTGTCAATATAACATCATGCTATCTCCAATTGAGAGGGCTAAAGGTCAAAAAACAAAACAAATGGCCAGATTTGCCCAAAACTCATCTTCAACCGATAGATGAGCTATAATTCCATGGGGCCTACCATGCATTATTTAGCCAAAATGACACCATGTTGGCCAAATGTTGCCCTCCTCTTAGCCCTTTGTTTGAGACTCAACTCCTCAATTGCAATAATTGATTCAAATTTAACAGGTACATTTAAAAACATCTAACAGTAGTTTAATTAAATTAATCAATAAATTTAAAGTATAAACTTAAAATTAATAAATTATTAAGGGATAGTCCCTTCGATTAGAGATGGTATATGAATATGACCTGACAATGTTCATTTAAAAATAATTTTTCCATGGTGATAATTTTGCACGTGGCTAAACATATAATTCTAGACGGGACTATGTTTAGCCCCTTCTATTGAAGATAGTTAGTACTATTTCCTCAAACATGTATAGTATGAAGGAGACTTCAATGACCTTGTGTCAAAGACCATCTCCATGGCCTTCTACCCGACAATGCTATGATGCCGGTGAACTCGTTCCACCAAGTCCTCGTATATTACCACCGTAAGACAAGTCTCGTAGGAGTACTAATAGGTGCAGTTTCCTGTGAAATTTCCAATTACCACATCTGCATACCTCAATTTTTATACATCATTCATGTAGGAACTAACTCCGCCTATGTCTTACATGGCCGGTCCCAAGCCCGGATAAAGGAGGAGGGGGAGGGCGTCAGGTAGTCGACAGCCGGCACTCCATGATCACGTCGAATCCTTATGAAAATGAATCTAGAACAAAATCGCGCTAAAGCTAGGGCGTCACCCGTAAGTGGCGCGCTGTGTGGCCCGAGCACAGTGATAAGTAAGCAAGGGTCGCTGTATCTCCATCGGCACCTGGATGCAGTGTTAAATGAGCAAGGGGGCCATAGAAACTTCTTTTCGAACGACTCCACTCAAAGTTGTTTGGGAGCATATGCTCCTATCAACTTTACCCGGGACACACAAAAGAAGTACTTTGATCCTATTAGACGGGGGAGGGTGAAGAAGCTAGGACAGAAGGGTAGAGTTCAAGAGAGCAAAAATGCGTTTAGGAACGTGGAATATAGGAACCTTAACGGGAAAATCTATGGAAGTAGTGGAAGTTATGGTGAGGAGAAGGATAAATATTATGTGCCTACAAGAAACTAAGTGGGTTGGTAGTAAGGCAAAGGATCTAGAAAACTCAGGGTTTAAACTTTGGTATTCGGGCACAAATAGAACGAGAAACGGTGTTGGCATCATCGTGGACAAGACATTGGTACAAGATGTTGTAGATGTCAAGAGGGTAGGAGATAGAATCATGGCAATCAAGATTGTAATAGGACAAGAACTTATCAATGTGATTAGTGCGTACGCACCTCAAGTAGGGTTGGATACGAGTTCGAAGGAGAAATTTTGGGAAGATCTTGGAGACTTGGTGCAAGGAATTGCTCAGACGGAGAAGTTATTTATAGGAGGAGATTTAAATGGACACGTGGGCAGGGAGACAGGCAACTATGGAGGTTTTCATGGTGGCCATGGTTTTGGGGAGAGAAACGAGGATGGGGAAGCTATCTTGGATTTTGCAATGGCATATGATCTCTTCTTAGCCAATACCTTCTTTAAGAAGAGAGAAGAACATGTGATCACCTACAAGAGTGGGTCGTCAAAAACACAAATAGATTTTCTTCTAATGAGGAAAGGGGATCGTATAACTTGTAAGGATTGCAAAGTTATATCAGGAGAGAGCGTGGCTAATCAACATCGCTTGTTGGTGATGGATGTACATATCAAAAGAGTAAGACAAAAGAACAAGACTTGGAAGTGCCCAAGGACTAGAT